CAGAAGCCTGCAGCAAGCAGGAGGCGTGGCGGCTCCCGCAGCCCAGCACCCGCAGCCCAGCACCGTCAAGGTCTAACTCCGAGGCTGTGGGAGGTCTGACTCCCCTGGGAGGGGGTGCGGGCCAGGCTCCAGGGAGCCATGCTCTCTCGTGTGGCCCCGGTTGCTGGGTTTGCTGGGCAGTGAGCGTAGAGTAGTTCAGCTCTCCCAGATCTGACACGGAGGGAACCATGGGGGCGGAGGGCCCCCAACAGCTGGGGGAGGGGAGGGGCAGGAGCAATGAGAATGGGGTCCAGCACTTTCCAGGAGTGGGGTGAGAGCTGGTCCTGGAGCTGTGACCCCTGGGGGGAGGTGACCGCGGGGCCATCACTGGGCGGCAGGGAGGGAGAGCGGGAGATGGAGGACAGCCCAGTCACTGCCACTCTGAGCGTCCCGACTCAGGCCACGGAGGCCCTAGCGCAGGGGAGCTCACAAAGTCCGCCTGACCCTGCACGTCCTCCCAGTGTGCACGGGGGCCGAAGGGGGGCCCCCGGCCGGCCGCATGCCACACGCCGTCCCAGGGCCTCCTGGCACTTTTTTAGCTGCAGGTTGTAAAGAAATGGCTCAGCATCCTCACCAGGGGACGCCTTTCTGACGACTGCAAACGTTGTATAGTCCCCAGTTAGCATGGCCAGCCTCCCCCCCCTCCCCGGACCTCTCAGGTGGCAATGGGAGGCAGCGCTTCCACCCACGGAGGCCGGGGCGCCAGAGGGGCCTACGCACTCCCATCCATGGCAAAAAGAAGCGTCTCCCTAGTTACCCCGAGAGCGAGCCTCACGTAACCCTAATAGCCTTTTTAAGAGACTTGATACCCCTCTGCATGTCCAGTTCCTAAGACACCCCCCCCCACAGAAGGAGCCACCCCGGGGAGGGGGGGCAGCGAGGAGGAGTCCAGGCCCCCATCCCGGGTGAGTGTATGTCTCCTGCCACCTCAACCCCCTGCCTGGGAAACCTGTCCTCGCCTCTTCCGAGCTCCCCTGGACTCCCTGCAGCTGCAACTCAAGGGTCAGAAGTGGTTGCCACAGGGACCCCGAGAGCCATGTGACCCTAAAGGCAAGGTCCACAGCCCAGCCTTGCAACAGCCAAGGGCGAGCGGCAGAACGCAAGGAGCGTGGACATGGGGACGTTTCCCGGCCCTGCCCTCAGAGGACCCCGGTGGCCTGGTCCTAAGAAGGACCCCGTCCGTGGCCAAGGGAAGGAGCTGGGCCGCACCCCAACCCTGTGCTCCCTGACGGGACCAACTATTCATAAGACCCCAGGAAGACAGCGAGGGGCCAGCCACCCCAGAGAAGGTCTGAGTTTGGGAGTGCCGGGGGAGGGGGCGCTCTACCTGAGGCTGCTGGGAAAATGGGGAAGAGAGAGGGTGGGTGTTCCTGGTACCAGTGTGGCCCCAGACAGATGATCAAGGGTACAGAGAGGCCAAGCAGGTCTTAGGCACTGTGGGCCCCTCAGGTGCATGCAGGGCCCCGAGGGACCCCCAGGGCAGCTCTGGGTGTGTGGGCAGCGGAATGGCAAGGTGTCTGAGTAAGGAGACTGCAGGGCGGCTCTGGGAGAGAGCTTGACATGTGGGGCGGGCGGGGCGAGAAGCTGCAGCGAGGCAGTGCCCGAGCGTGGCCTGGGGGGGCTGTTGGAGCAGCGTGATGGGGGGGAACCCAGAAGCCGTGGGATTCAGGGAGCAGAGGCTGCCGCCCCCACGGAGGGGGTGAAGGGACATGGTCTGGATTCCCCTGTAGAGGAAGCGATGGCCCTGCCGAAGCCCCGTCCGCCTGTCCGCCCCCCACCCCCCGGCCGCGGAGCTCCCTTACCTATTGAGCTGAGGAGAGGCTTGTCTCGACAACACTGCCCAGATAGCTGAGATCAATCAGAAACAAAGCAGTTATCAACACAGGCCGCGGGGCAACCACCCACGCACACCCAGAGGGGAGGAGGGGGGAGCTCGGGGACCAGAGAACCGACAAGGAGGCCAGAGAATGGGGCGAGGGAAGGAGAGGAGAGAGACAGAGAGCCAGACCAACGATGGGACAGAGCAGATGAGCGCGCTGCAGAGCGGACGACAGGGCTGCGCCCACAGCATCTACGGCAGACACCACGGGCACCACGCAACCACGCGCACCGCCTGGCCTGGCGCCGGCTGGAGCTCCCCTCCACTCCCAGAACTCCCTGCGCCCCCACCAGGAGCAGGTGGGGTGGGAGGGGAGGCCTGCACTTCCAGGTACCAGACAGGGTGGGAGTGAGTGGGGCAAGGGAAGGGCTCTGGGCTCCTCCTCGACCGCCACCCATCCTGCCTACCACCCGGCCAGCTCCTCTGGAGCTGGGCGCCCCGCACAGGCAGCCACACTAAGAGAGACCAAAGGACGGAACCAGAAAGAAAGAGGGAGGGAGGGAGAAGGCGGGGGCGGGGGAGAGGGAGGGAGGGGAGGGGGACCAGGGG